CTCTCTTTTTTTTTATGAATTGGGCTGTGTAAATGTGTTATGCCTGCTCTGAGAGGGTTACAGGACCTGGAAAGCGTGATAGAAAAATGCACGTTCAATTAACATGTTTTTTAAACCATGACTTAAAGATTGTTCTGTTCATTCCGATACTCTTTTTGGAAATATAACTTTGGAATATTTAGATGCCTTCTCTTTTCTGTTTTCTTATCAATACTGTCACCGAAAACTGGTTTGTTAGAATATAAGCTTTGCTTGTTCTATTGTCACCTCTAATTCTACCTTCCTTCATGCCTCTAAAGATAGATATCAAAAGGGCTGCAGGATTGATGCTCCTTAACTCCCCACCCTTCTGCAGTTTTCTCGAAAAGATGATTGGGAGGATCAATAGAACTATCCTGGTGAGCTAGTTCAGGCAGTTCAACTTGGAGCTACAGTTTAAAACATTTTTACACGACAGCCTAACCCTCCCACGCCTTTCTCTCCGTTCTCCATTATTCTATGAATATATTTAGAGCCTGTATTGCCTGTTCAGAACTTTTCCCCAGCTCTGGTGGTTGTTGAGCTACCCCCCCCCCCCCCCCCCCCCCTTTCTGGATCAGAGGGTGTCCAAAACCTTTTCACTGAGGGCCTCGTTACAGGACAGATATTCAAAAAGGGGCTGGCCGGCTCACTAGAGTGGAGGTTTATTGGCCTCATAAGTTAAGTTGTGAGTCAGATTAAATCAATCAAATGGTTAGGCTAAGATTATTCTGCATAATTTCAGTGTGTTTCAAAAAATAAACAGCCTCCATCACAGCTCTCCAGAGGGTTTCATGTGTTTGGTGTTAGCAGTCCTCGATCCCTTAAAACAGAAGGCCTCAGATTGATTATCATTAGAGGAAATATGAAGGGTGTATTTCAAGGTTGTTATGTACATAAGTTGTTGGGCTTTTTTAATCACTTAGATTTGTTAGAACATATTTTCAACTTGAATAGACTTAATTAATTTAAATTGGGCTTATTAACACATGAACACTACTGAGTAATATATGTTTACAGATGTATTTAAGAAGTACAATACAAGACAAGATCAGGTCTCATTTGTGGGCCGTATTCCATTATACTTTTTGAATTTGCTGAGGGCCGATTCAAGATGGCTCGCAGACCGCATTTGACCCACGGGCCGTAGTTTGGACACCCCTGATCTGGATCAATCTTAGCGTGTCCATTGTCTAAATGCTTTCCAAAGGAATGCTGTTTTATAGGTGGTATATTCCCCTCATGGCCGAGGAGCTTAAGGGGGAGACGCTCAATGGGGCTGGTCCAACGCCTACGCATAGCAGTCTCTCTAGATACTATATTCCCCTCAAAGCTGAGGAGATGAAGTCAAAAGACTCATTGAGGCTGGTCCCAGTTCTACACATAGCAGTCTCATATCACCAGAGTAAGGAGATTAGTCTGTGGGGTTTTGTGTGAATGTTTTTGAATCGCCATTGCTCAATATTCAATGTAAAAATATGTTAAAATATTTGCATGTTGTGATGAGGCCGGAGATTATGCTGAGGCTGAGGTTTCCTCGTGAGTGTTGTGCAAACACTGACACCACTTCATAAGATCTGTATCAACCCTTTAGGATCAGCGTCTCATTGGTGGTCCGATAAACGTGACTTCTTTATCTCAACTTCATTAGACATTTTTGAAGCGTTAGGATTATCAAGTAATCTTTGTCTTTTGGACTTACGTCAAAACCCCGCTGTAGGAGTTTAAACTTTTGACCTGAACATGTTGACCTCTTGAGTTGGCTGCACAGGGAGAGATTGATCTGATGGTTACAGTTTAGGTTGTTCAGATACCAGTTTCATCCTGTTCTCACTTTCTGGCAGTGACCCTCAAATTAGCTGCACCTTTACCAGCTTTGAGAACACCTTTCATGATCAATCATTATAAAACATATCATATATATTATTCTGAAATGGACCAATCTGCACAATGACTACTTTTACTGTCGCTACTTTCACTATATTTTGATGATAATACTTTTCTACTTTTACTTGAGGAACATTTTGAATGCAGGACTTTTACTGTAACAGAGTATTCCTACACTCTGGGACTATTACTATTACTCAAGTACAAGATCTGAGTACTTCTACTTTTACTCAAGTACAAGATCTGAGTACTTCTACTTTACTCAAGTACAAGATCTGAGTACTTCTACTTTTACTCAAGTACAATATATATATATATACTTATACCACCTCTGTTTATAGCCTATGAAAAAAACTATTAGAAATAGAAGGCTAAAGCTAACGTTAGCAGATAGTGACAATGTATGCTAGCTAGCTAGCTCAACGATTCCTTAAATAATATTGCCACAGAAAAACTTTTCAGTTCACATCACGCTCTGCCGCTCCGACAGGGAGCTCTGCTCTGAACACCTGAACGCGCAGGCTCCAGTGACACCGTGTCTGACCTGGAGAACCACTTTTGTCCCAAGTACAATC